AGGGCGAAGCTCGCAGGGTCACTTAGACGTGGAATTTGGGGTGTATTCCAATTGTAGAGGTTGCCGCTTGATTTGTGGTCGGCTTCTTCAATATCCTAGGCTCCAAGTCAAACCGGAGTCCGCGATCAAGCCATTGCCGAGCCCCCAAAGCGCAGGACTTCAGATGCAATGATTTCTGTTGTGTTAAAATGCAAAGCATCGGGAACTTCAAGCGGTTTGTCCCTATCAGGAGAGTCTGAGCGTACGTCCTTCAGTTCCTTCGGTTCGGCTGGGGGTGCTACGGCAGCTACAGATGAGACTCAGCCCATCGATATCATGGAAGTGCCGATGCCCATCGAGCCCTTGCTTTGTGATGCTCCGCCTGAGCAGCTGGATGAGCTGCCAGAAATCATGCCAGGTGCAACCAAGGATCCAAGCAAGGAGGCTGCTTTGGTGCATGAAGCGGCAGAATCAGCACCACCAGCTGCAGCGGCACCGGAGCAGCCTGCCACCGAGGTGTTTACCGAAAGCAATTCCGAGGCCACACCCAACATCTCCACCGAGTTTTGTGTCGACGACTTGTAGCAGGGTTCCCGATGTACATAAATAAATTAAATAAAGAAACCCAAGTAATTAGATATTTAATGGGGTTCAGATTCCTAGGCGGATGCAAAGCCTGTTCTGATGAGATCGGACCAGCTCAAGATGAGGGCAGAGATCAAGGGCCGAAAGAAGCGCGGTCCCAAGCGCAAGCGGAGCAAACCTGGCTTGATGTCGTCCCCTCCGAAGCGACGTCGGAAAGTGCTTCGTGCTGTTGCGGCATCGGAGAAGCCCGGCGGCGACTCAAACGACATTGCCGAGCCCGAGATCGACAAGAAGAGCCGTCGACGACCCGCGGCCACGGCGAAACCCAAGGCAAAAGCCACGGCCGCAAAGGCCAAAGCCAAGGCCACGCCGAAAGCAAAGGTGAAAGCCGAGACGACCTCAGGAAAGCGAAAGGCCAAAGCTGCGGACGACTCGGACACAAAGCCGACGAAGAAAGACAAGAAGGCCAAAGTGGATGCGACTTTGGGTGTGCCACTGGCCAAGGGGGCTCACAAAGTCTCCCCCAAGAAGGCAGCGATCCTCGAGCCGCCGAAGCTTGACTTGTTTGAAGCCCTGAGCTACTACTTCGACGCCCCGGATGTTGGACACCTGAAGGGATTCATTGTGGACTTCGGGTCTAAGTGGGGATCCAAAGATGGGCCATCATTCAAAGTTGACATGAAGGCCGACCTGGATCCCCTCGAGATGTGTACCTATAACATGTACTGGAAGAAGCCTGCCACAGGTGTCATCATGAAGGTCAATGGCAAGGAGAAGGAGATGGCAGCCTTTTCGGCCCCGGCTTCTCGATCCGGCGGCCTCCCTTGGGCTACTAAGATGGCTGTGACAGCGAAGACCGCTAGCTTGTTTGGGTACTATGTAGAGTGGCTGTTGTACGATGGCTACGTCGACGAGGACTCTATCGAGAAGGGCACCTCCAAAGACCTCGACATCATGAGAAATGTTTTGAAAAGTGCTATGGAAGATGCCTTGAAAAGGCTTGACAAGTAGACTGGATGGTTTGAAGCTCCATGGGCTTAGGACTGCCAGGTCACTGCATGTTTAGTGATCGATGGGAAAGCAAGCGCGAAGCGACTTGTAAGTGGTAGATCGATCTGATATATGCGGGGCTTTAGAGCAGATGCCGTGTGGACCCGAACCTGAGCGCTTTCCAGAAACAATCATGACTTAGTTTGAGGCTCTTGTATTTTCTACTGAAGTGTTGTCGAGTCTAATGGTTGTACTGATACCACGAAGTTTTGGTTTGTTTGAGGGGATTCACATAATATCACTCGTTTTGGGTCTTATCAGATTCTCTAATTAAGCAAGAGCAGGATGCTGGAAGGAAAGCTCGGGCGAAGTGCTTTCGTCTTTGCAGATCATTCATGCTGGGCCAGCAAGCATCTATGTGGAGTTTCTATACCATTGTGATTGTGCCGTGGATGTTACAGATTTGAACTGTGTGAGCTTCTGGCCTCAGTGTGCCGATCTTCGGTCGTTCCAGTCGCGGCAGAAGACTCGCCAGTGGGCAAAAGTAACCTAAGTTGTGTGCGGACGCTTTGGGTGACGAAGCGGGGGTTGTGAGGAGGTGTCAGTTTCGTCAAAGTCAAGTTGGGCTTGTCTTGACTAGTTGGGAACTCATTGTTGTCAGCAGCGATAATTCCACAATGTGTTTCCAATCCTCGTCGATCTAGCCAACGAGACCCTAAACCAAAACCCTAAACCCTATAAACCCTAAACCCAATAAACCCTAAACCCCCCAAGTCAAGTTCCCTGAACTGAAGAGTTTGATTCTGTCTCAGCTTTTAGCCAAGCAAACGACACTCAAGAATTCAATTTCCCAAGAAAGCCGTTCTCCTCTGAATCCCGCTGTCCCCCAAACCTATCCTAAATCCCTCAACAAACCTTTCAAGACCCTTAATTAACTTCCCAACACCAAAAGCCTAAGCAAACCCGTGCAACCAATCCAAACACCATATAAACATAAGCACAATATATATCCCACCTAACCTAGATATATTACTTAAGTACTCAATCAGGGTTTCTCGATGCTTCCGTCCCAGGCCCGACCAGCGATGCCACTCCTCCCCGGCAGCTTGTGGAAGCTGCGTCTCGCCCACAAGAAGCAGCATGAGCGTGTTGCCGGCGAAGATTTCCTGCATGTGCTGAATTCAGGCTGCTGATTCAGTGCTGGAACATGTACCGCAGAGCACTGGGCTACCGTAGAATCCGTAGAAAGTTGTGTTGCTGTCAGCTGCAGTAGGTATCGGATGTGTAATGCACAACTTTAGGACCTATGTAGTGGCCCTTGCCCCGCAAACAAAAACACAATCCCTCTGTGATCCGCCTCGTTTGTCCAATGACGCTGGATGTTGATCTCCTGTGCTGGCGATTGAAGCAGCTCAAAGCTCCGAAGGAGCACTGCTTCGTGTAGGGAAACAGTAGCAATCTATATTCGTAATCATACCCTCCTGTTGCAGGACTTCATCTTGGTGGTTCTACTTGTGATCTGGACAGCGGACTCCGAGAAGCTGCAGCAGGTGCTTCTACCAGTTTAGACAGCAGGGTTTCGCTTCGGAGTTGAAAGGGGTTACGAAATTGCCAGGATTACACCTTCCTCGAATTTTATGCTGGCAACGGCAACTTGCACCGAATGATGAGGGCAGCAGGGAAGTACAGGGCTGCGCGGTTTGACATACTCGATGGACCATCGGACACCAAGCGTTCGAACTACATGGACCTCAACTCGAGGTCGGGCTTTGCGAACCTTGATTCAACTCAGTACTCTCTGTAATCCTTGTCGGTTGTCCTCCAACTAGAATGGTTCCCGTAGTCACTGAGCTGGTCACCTTAGTTTGTTTGTCGATCATGATTGAAAAAGGTTGGCCATTTACTACATATTACGACTTGCTGGCGGGCAGGGCTACGTGCACTTCGGTTTCAAGTGCTCCTCTTTCACAACTATGAATTGTGGAACTTCCACTCGCTCGGCCTGCTCCAGCTCGGGGTTCGAGGAACGACCATCAGTGGCCTACTCAAACCGCCTCCTCGAAAGGATCTTCGGGGATATAAAAAACCCTATTTAGGCCTGATTCGGGATGGATTTTCATGGGCTCTTGGTCTGATGGGACTAAACCGATTGACTTGACAGGTCCATACTGTCTGGGATCCGTTTGGGCTTCTCATGCAGGAGCGATATATAGAGAGAGAAAGAGAGAGAGAGAGAGACGGAGAGCGCGAGAGAGAGAGGCATATGTATATACATAAACAGCGAAAGAGAGATAGAGGAAGATATGATATCCAATACATATGAGAGAGAGATGACAAAGGCACCAGGTCACCAGGTCTTTTGAATCGGGGGCCTGTTCTCTAGTTGGAGCACAACGATTAATCCCTCCATGCACTAGAAACCCTAAAGCCAGATAGACCCCATAATAAACCCTTAAGTAAACCTTTTATTTTTATATGTAGGATAAATCACTACATATATTTATGTGTGCATATATCCATCTATATATCCATCCATCTATATATATCAACCCTACATAAACATAGCCCGTATCCTCCCTCAAGGACAATTTTGCTGATTGTGCTGGCGACAAGTGTCGATGCTACCTGGTCCCTGGAGCAGCCGAGCGGAAGCCTTCTAGAATTTTATCCTGCTTGGCGATTCATGATGAGGGCTTTATGTGACTGTGGTGGGCCTCACAGTGTAGCTCGCACCATGTAAGTACACAGTATTGCTTTACCGTGTAACCCTTTATTTAAAATAGGTTCTCGGCCCCGAAACAGGATAAGAAACCACACTGAAGTTCCAGGTGACGAAGGTGAAGTTTTGGATGGGGCACTTCGGCTCCAGCACAGCGAAGAGACACTACATGTATTCCAACAGCTTCCAGATACATGTCCTGAACAAAGGGAAGTTAAGCTTTGCCTTCTATAAAAACAACAACAAGACCGCGAAGTACTACCGGGACAAGAACGATGTGAAGAGGTTCTCGGGCACAAAATATCTTCGTCGAACCGAGTGCCTCGTCCGGTGACAGACTACGGTATTCTGTTTGCATGCCCTCGGCTTCACCCACAAGACAGAGAGACTGCTAAGCTTAAGTTCACATAGTTGGGCTGCCCGACAACAATCGATATATTCTGTTTAGATAAACCCATAGAAAGCCAGTGGTCATCTCGCGAAATGAAACCCCCAATCCTGTAAAGCAACGTGTTCTGCACAGGGATGTAAGATCTGAAAGTAAAGCCTACCCAACCCAACCCCCAAAGCACACAACCATTATAGCATCCCAATCCCAGAAGCCCGGAAGCTAAACCCCGAATCCTCGGGAACAACCCTGCTGTGCTAGGCCTGTCGTCGGGGTTGCCCAGAGTCGACTGGAGAACTTCCGTTCGGGGTGGACACGGTTGCTACTTTACCGGCAAAGATGGAGGACTGCTTTGCTGCAGCGGCTTTGGAGGAAGTCTACAACTACCTGAGGGGTGGCAAGCGTTTAGCAATCCCAGACAGCTGGCGAGTAGTGCTGCCAGACGGGTTCATTGGTTTCTAGGGTTCGGGTGGAGTCTCTGAAGGGGCTGTGTCTAAAGTCGTCGTAAAATATTGAGCTTTTTGGGTCTGCTGTTCAAACCTAGTTGGGCTTCTTTCTGGTTCGGGCTTTGCAAAGGCTCTAGGTGCAGGCTATAGAGAGGTTCTCCGCAAATTGTGGTTTGTGGCTCGGATAGCCTAGCTGTTTTCCCAGGTTATGCGGGGTTGTTCTGCGTTTTGCAAGCCTGGATGCAGGTTTTGGTGCTTTTTTTGAGAATTAGGCAGGTCATTTAGAGTTTTTACAAAGTTTTAGGGTAGGGAGCTAGCTATACCCGTGATTTGGAGACCGAAACCCCGGGTTTAGGGCCCCCTACCCATGATTTACCAGCTAGATAAACCGAGGTTTAGATATCACAACCCTGGGTTTGGGTCTCGTACAGGTAAACCCCGGGTCTGCCCCAACCCATGATATACCCGTGTTATATCCATGTTATACCCATGTTATAAGCGTGACGGCGTCATGGGTAAACCCCGGGTTTAGAGCATAGCCTCCTAACCTAAAAATAACAGCCCTGAACCAAAAAAATGCGTGCCGAAGAGAACTTTGTGCGGCTGGTGGGCCGTGCTCGTGGCCAAGCGCAATTCGGCATCCGCAGGATTTCCTTTGCGGGCTGCCGGGTCTTAAGTGTGTCTGAAACAGATCGAGGGAGCTTGAGTAAAAAGTAAATGGTTGTGGTTGTCGGGAAGCTGCTTCGTTGCTTGGTACATTCTACATCATTTGAGCCTTTGCTACACTTGTGCAGTGGTTCTGTGCAGCGTTTTCGTCAACTGGGCCGCTTGGGTGGTGACTCAGCTATGGCCACTCATGCTGTGTCCAAACTATGGAGCTGTGGGTCCTTGAATGCGGGGATGGAGCATGTCGCCGATGCTTCCGGTGATCTTAGTGCAGAAGAATTGCAACGGGAGCTCCAGGAGCCTGCTGCACATATGGTCCTGTATAGGGTGTTTGTCGGAATTGCATGCTACTATAGAGCGATATATGATATAAGTCACATTACTGGGACTTACAATCTTTTGGGAGGAGCTCGAAAGCCAGCTTCTGACTGACGCCGTCTGCGCCCTACGCAAACGGACGCCTGCTGTGCTTCCTATAGTGCTTGTGTGTCCGTCTGTGTAGATGATGGGCCCCTCTTGTATACATCTGTAGATACACACACCCCTGAAAACCTCAAAACCCACAATCTATCTAACGAGGCCACAGCGCCTGTGTTTTCTACAGACAAGAACATTGTCGCCAATGAATGCAGCACAGACGCCGCTTGCGTCGGTGCCACAGTTCCTGCCGATTCCTCAGATGCGTCTGCACAATGTAGACCGGTGTCAGAAGTGTTTGGGGGGGTTCTAGATAGGGTGTCGATCTGATTGCGTGAGGCTACTCCAGAAGAGCTGGCAGCAGCTGGGCTGGGGACTTTGCCGGCCACCCTTAAAGATCCGGGTGCTACGACAGCGCCTCCTACGCTGCTCCCTTCGGAACCTGAACCGTCTGAACCCCCTGCGGAATCAGAGGCAGCACCTCGTCCACAATCGTACCACTATAGGTTTGCAAGAGGTCCAAAGCATACAAACCCCAACCTACATACAACAGCAAACTTCCTGATCGTTCCGGGGAAACTGAGGCCGTTGATGCGGAGGAGGATGAGCTAGACAGTGCTACTTGCCATAATCTTGAACCCTGCACGATCATCCCTTCTTCAGCTAAATGATAATCTGCATCCTAGGCTTCTGGTGCGGAGCTCCTGGCACTCCTACACGGGGTCATGTGCACCCACGATGACTATGGGGAGTTTCAGGCTGAGGCTGCCAACGACAAGACCCAGACCCCAGGGAAAGCAGCGAAGAAAGAACCAACCAGACAGGCTCCTTAGATATTTACGGTATCGCGGCAAATGCAACTAGCCTGTTGAATCCCCGCAAACAACATTGCATATAAGGAGCGGCTGCTCAGAGCAGCCAAAGCCAGGATTGACAGAATGGTGCAGGCTCACTCCAGGCGAAAGGAACTCGATGTTCCTCAGTGGCTGAAAGACGAGTGGAAAACAGGCAACAAGACGAAGATGGCCCGCACGCTACAGGACGCCAACTTCGACAAAGTAACCTGTTGGCACCTAGGAAACCGACGACCCAAATCCTAGCACTCCTTAATACTGTAAATGCTGCAGTTCCTTCAAACAGATCCCTTCAAATCATGGTCTGCTCTCGATCTGGCTCAGGAAGACTTCATCAAGCGCATGGAAGTCACAATCAAGAGGAAGAACGAGAAGGAGGTCCTTGTGGAGGAGGGATGGTATACTAAGGACGAAATGTTGCAGGATCTGTCTTGGAGCGAGACCTTCATCTAAATTACAGCTAGCCACAAGTGCGCTCAAATACCAGTGTATACGTCGCTTTAAGTTCACAGACGTCTATCTCAGGACCCGTGCGGACGGGGCGATCGCCCGTTGCAAAGCTTCCGGCGCTAGCCACTGCAGGTGCTCCGGGGACTTTGTTTCAGGGCGGTAGAACTCCCAAGGTCGCTATCTGGTTTGGGTTCCCCGGACCCCGCCCCACCCCCTAGTCTCCAGGGGAGGGAAACAATTACGATTTCATACCAAAACATTAGTATTCAGAGCCAATCCTGAATGAGGTGCTCAAACACAACCACGGATCTGAACTGGAGCACTTCTGCTATCCATTGGGAATCGGTTCATCGGTCGTGTTGAGCCCAAATAACATCTCTCGCTCTCTCTCTCTCTCTCGCTCTTTGTATATATACATATATATCTCATCTTCCTCTATCTCTCTTTCGCTGTCTATAGACTATATATATGTATATACATACCACTCTCTCTCTCTCTCTATCTTACTGGCTTGGGGTAGAGAGACTCTCTCTCTCTCTCTCTCTCTCTCTCTCGCTGTTTTTGTATATACATACCACTCCGTATATAGTTACATTTACATAAATATATAGATAAATAGATAGATTGTACAGGTACAGATACATCGATATTTTATTTGTTTTATGTACATGTCCACTATTAAACTCAAGTACGATCAAGCAATCCCAGCAACGGCCGAAACCCTAAACACAAATCAATCCCAAAGCCCCAGCTTTCCTAGGACCACAATTAGCCCGAACATGAAATCCCAACCTGTTTAGATACCTTCGAGCAGAATACGACCTCATCGCTTTAGGACCTTCCCAAGAAAAACCGCCCCAATCCTTCCGTTCCATCCAGGCAGAACATGTATGACAACGAGTGGGAATACTGGGTGAAAGTGCGTGAACACGGCAAGCGGCGACAAGCTGTGTCGTATGAGGAAAACCTGAAGAAGATGAAAGAGGCCCCTGTTTCAATGCAAAAAACCCGCAGCCCGGATTGAACCTGTTCTTGCTGAGCTTCAGCGATGCACTCTGTCAGGTGGCCGAGGACCCTGCCAACATGGCCGCCATCGAGAAGGATTTGGGCTCGTTCGAAGTTCCGTTGGGGGATGCGAGTCCCGATGCCAAAGCGGGGCCAGACCCCTCAGCCCACAAGTTTGCCCAGGCACCCCTTGTTTGCAATCTGTTCCAATAAATTCATTGCTGTCTACTGGGCAAGCAGTCGCACTTTGCAGCTTTCATGTCCTGGCTTGGTTGCAGTCCAAAGAAGCTTTGGAGAAGTTCACCGGCTCTGTTATGGGCAAGATTGGCAAGTTGCGGTCGCTAGTGAGAGATCTTCATACCAACTACCCAACTAGCGCGGATGCCAAGCAGCTCCCTGGTCATAACTTGAAAAGACCACATGGTTTCACAAAGCAGCCAGGTAGCAACAACCATCCCAAAAGGCCGCACTAGCCTTGCCAACTAAGGGCCGTCGACAACCTCAACAACGCTATCAAGGCTATGGAAACCCAGTATGATGCTCTCAACGAACTCAAGACGCAAGTTGATATGCTCGGTATGAAAGATGAGCCCCCTGGCTTCTAAGACTCGTGATACGGCGACGATAGTTATCTTCTATATAGATAGGAATTGTTTTGCCCAATGACCCCCAATTGCATCCTAGGACAATGGGTTCTCACCTGTACATAATATATGTACTAGCCCAAAAGAACCCTTGTAGACTCTATGTAAACCTATTTACAACCCTGACATCTCTGACATGCAGCCCAGGCTGTACGGCAAGGCGGAGGATCGCATGAAGCAAGCCACGCTTGTGTCCCTCGGCTTCAGAAGTTTAGACCGGCGACCAACACAAGACCCCCTGAGTCTTAAGGTGTAGTCGTGCGGCGGCCACCGAAGCGAAAACACGGACTGCTCATACAGTTTGGTATGTCGCAACTGTTAGGGTTCCCAAAAGCCCTTCGTAACTGAACCGGTTTGGCAGGACGGCCAAGAAGAGCTTTGACAAGCCGGAGTCGCCTACGGAGGCGAAGCTGAAGGACAGAGCCAAGCCTAAGGCTGAGGCTGAGAAGCCTTCTGTGAAGAAGTCGGGTAAGCCTGAGGCTGACAAGCCTTCTGCGAAGAAGTCGGGTAAACCCAGGGCCAAAGCTGCAAAGTAGCCTGCTATAGGGGTCTGGGTGTGTGCTAAGCCGATGCTGTGCTTTCAAAGCAGTGGCAATCGCCACTGCTTTTTTGACTTCTGAAGTGCAATTCAGATTTCTGTGCAACCCTCTAACATGCGAAGATGCAGCAGGGAGCTGCGCCAAAAAGGTCTACGGCACTACTTTCTGAAGTTGCGCAGCGAGACAGAGATAGTGATCGAGCCTACGTCTTGAAATCCGAAAGCACACAACTCCGAAACCCCATCCATAAGTCAAAGCTTCCTTGCTATGCCAGGTTCAAGTGCTGCTAGCCATACAATTCGCGGGCTCAGCCGCGACATCGGCGAAGGGGCCCGAAGCTCAAAGTGTGTGCTGCTTCTATTGGAAAGTGCATAGGTGCTATAGGCATGCGTGTCTCGAAAACATATCGTTGACATTGACGATCCATCCGAAGCTTCTGTTTTGTTCATATTGTAGACAAGTTTGTTCGATTCTTATTGAAGACAAAAGCCTGATAGGGGGTTTTCGGCTGATGTCGTTGGCTTCTGCCGGCAATGGATGCTGCAGATCAACCAGAAAGCCCTGAAGATGAGCTGTGGGATCTTTTTACGAGCCATCGAGATGATACCAATCCTGCATTATTCTTTACACGTTTGCTTTTCTTTCACACTGTTCCACTTCATGTGTTCTGGTAAACACATAACTTAGGAAAGCATCGCTCCTTTCCCGTGGGACAAGTCGGTCTCGAACCCTGGTGATTGCAGCGGGCCAGCAAGCTGTAGCAACACAACCCCGAAGGTGCAAAAGACTATCAATAAGGTTCGTTCTTCTGCAGAACACCAGAGCATCAAGAGCATTGAGCACAACTCTTCATTGAGGAAAGAGAGGAACCTTCACGATTATTTGGAGGATTCGCTGCGGTTCACTGGAATTCACAAGCGATGCCTTGAGATTCAGTGTATCTCCTTCATCCTGCCGCCCATGGGTTCTACTGCCGGCAAGGTTTTGAAGCACGCGACTTGCGAGGTGGAAAGACTTTTCAAAACACACGAGCCGCTAATCTTTAAGCTGGGCTACACCCATGATCCGGCATTTCGGTGGTCCAACCCCATATACGGCTACATGCATGACCGAGATCAGTGGACAAACATGGTGGTTGTGTTCGTTTCCCGAGAACCCTGCGGACCTGCGATGCTAGAGGCTTGTCTAATTGACAAATATGGCAGTCGTTTGGTTGCACCTATGACAAGGTAATAAGTTTTGTTGTTTCTTTTGCTTTCTACAAAATCCAAGCACGAACACAGTCGAGGTCGACAGGGTTGCCGAAACATCAAAGCTGGTGGAGACACGGTCCAGGAATCCTCGCTCGACTCAGATGATCGCTTCATGACATACATAGTGTACAGATCGTTCAAGTATCCTCCCCATCGTGTGTCTTGATCGACATTACCGACGCGCTTCTTGTACAGGAAAAGTTTCACGACTGCGTCTAAGTGCTTCGCGAGTGCTCCGGGGAACGAGTGCTACAAAAGTTTGTTTGCGAGACGTTCTGTTGGTGTTCACTTTTTGCAGCTATCCACAATCTTGTATTCGATCGTCCTCTTTGTTGTCCGAGATTGAACCGAATCAATTCCTGTCCGCCCAGGCCTCTGCCAGAGCAGCAATCCGGACTGCGAGAAATGTGGTCAAGGACATTGGTCTGGAGAAGGCTCGTGGCCTAGGCGGCTTGCTTCCGCTAGCGAAACTTTCTGAGGATCATAGTGAAAGGGGTTCCCATTCGTTGTTTTCGAAGAAGCTGGGCCTTGCTTTGCCGATTCCGTTGACAGAGCTGCCCACCAGCTGCGGAACGGTACCACCGAACATTCAGCGGATTAGTATAATTGATTGGGTCAAGTATTTCTTGCATTACAATCACTGGCATGTCTTTGCCGGCTTGCGAAGACCGGACAAGATTCGAGAGAAAAAGATTTGGAGCGCGTGGTGGGAGAGATACAGAATCCACGACCCGTCACACCCCATCTTTGAAGCTGCTGACAATGGGAAAGTGGATCTGTGCAGGACGGCTGCGGTCGTCCTGCACGGAGACGAGGGGCGCGAGCGTCGGCGACAAGCGTTCTTTGTCCTGTCCTTTCATTCAGTGCTTGGAAGGGGCACGACTGATTCCCTGGGAAGCAAGGCGAACAACGTTTTGCATACATCTACGAAAAAAGTGCGAAAACCATATCTCAAGATGAACCTGAATTTCAAGGGGCATAGCTACACGACTCGATTTGTGACGGGAGTCCTTCCTCGAGGACGTTATGGTGATGGCGACAAACATTTCATTGACTTGTTGTCTGCTGCTTACGATGATTTGAAGTTTCTGCAGACCGCGGGCTTGGTGGACAGGCAGGGCAATCAACACTGGCTTTGTTGTCTCAAGACAATAGGCGATTGGCCGTTTTTGGCCAAGGCCGGATGCTTGCAGAGAACATATGCTAATGCAACGAAATCCATCAACCAAGAAGCGAGTGGAATGTGCCACCTTTGTGAAGCAGGTCTTGTTCATGCTCCTTTTGAGCAGATCGGAACAAGGCGGCCAACATGGTTGCGTACCCTTAATGCCTCCTCACCTTTTAGGTCCTGGCCTCCAGCTGTTCGTATTATTGACAACAGGGACAGGCTTGCAGAGCATTTCGCCTTCGACATCTTTCACACATTTCACTTGGGAGTTGGCAAGTTTTTTGTGGGGAGTGTTTTGGCGATTCTATCTAATTTCGAAAGCGGAAACGTGGAACGAAGGTTTCAGCAGTTGACAGCCAAGTTTCGGGAATGGTGTCGAAGGACCGGACACACGATGATCGTTTCCAAACTGACGAAGGACCTCATCACATGGGAAGCAACAACAGATTACCCGTTTGGGTCTTGGTTCAAAGCTGACCTGACGACGACACTGATGGAATGGATTGAAAGCCTCGAAGGCTCGCTGACGGATCCGTTGTTTCTTCTGGCGATCGATGCAACGAAATGTATCAATCGTTTCTTTCGGATTCTGTATTCGGAGGGCGTGTGGTTGGCAGTCGAAACAGCAGCGCAGACTGGGCAGCTCGCCAGCAAGTTCTTACGACGGTACGAGCAATTGGCGGTACAAGCATACTCTGATGAGATCACTTTATTTTCGCTGCCACCGAAGCTTCATCCCCTACATCATTTCGCTACTCAGCTTCTCGCTTCTGCACGTGCCGGCCAGTTGGCATTAAATCCGCTAGCGTACAGCACCCAAATGTCCGAGGACCTGGTGGGGAGGCCCTCCAGGCTGAGCAGGAGGGTTGGCTCTCGTTTGGTTGTTTCTCGAACGCTGCAGCGATATCTGAAGGCGTCCTACGCGCAGTGGGTTCGTGAAGGGCTCATTATCGAGACAAAGTCTAGTTGATGCGCGAAAAAAGATACGATTCAATTTTGCAGGGCCCGAACTCAGGCGAGCATGCATTGGCATCAGATTGATTCAGATTTCATTCCGACTTTTGTCGTCGATATCCAATCCGTTCAGGAATTTCTCTTGCATCATCCTGATTCAAGGCTCGTCTTACAAAGACTTGCAAAGGCAACATCATCGTCATACGTTGCAATTCCTGAGATTTGCGAAACCCCGGTTCTTCAAGTGATTCCCTGGNNGGGGGGGTAAGGGCTCTATAAGGCGTATTATAAGGCTTGATTCATGTGTTTATAAGAACTTTGCAAGGGTTGTATAAGGTCTTACAAAGGTTTCTTGTAAGGAATTGGGGTTTGCGGTTTCGTTAAGGGTCTTGAAGGGCATGGTAGGGGTGTGTGTGGTCTCGCATGGCTTTTAGGAGTTGTGGTTTCAAGGGCCCCTGTAGGGGAGGTGTTAGACCGTTGAGGGTGTAAGAGTTGGAATTTGGGGGTTATAGACCTCGAGCCCCCACTTAAGGTCTTTAGTTTGGCCCTAGATTGGGTACTTTCCGTAGCTGCCTTCTCGTCGGAGGGATTAAAGCTGCTTTGTATCGTTTGAGCTTGTGGTGTCAAGAGCTTACCGGCTTTTAAAAAAGTCTGGGTTCATTCAGATTTTGAGATGCGAGTTGGAGGGTCTGAGCCCCACAAACTGTTTCAGCCATGCCGCCTTGGCAGCACGCGTTCAAAAACATCTTATATGACCTAATGGTTTGCAGAGTTTAGGTTTCATTGAGTTTCTTGGGTGCCCGAGAAGGAGAAACTGCCAGAAATGTCAAAGAAGTGACGTTGCGCAGCCGTTTCGAATGTAAGCTTTATGATGTGAGAGGAGTTCGTCCAGGCTGCCTTTGGGGCTTTGCATGGTTGTTTTTGTGTTTTGTTGCTTCAGGGTCTTAGGGCTTTCGGGTTCTACAGTAATGTGGCTGCAATATTCCAGCATTGAAGCCTGTAGCATCCGGAGTTAATGCCAGGCATATATGAACCCTCTACCCGATGCTTACACACACACACACAGAGACGCAGACAGCTACAGCTCACAGAGCGTTGCTCTCAAAATCTAGCCCCTGGGAAGTGCCATTCCTCGCCCCATAAAAAGACAGCTATGCAACATGCAGAGGTCAAGCAAGCTCCGCCGAAACACGAAAAAGCGGCTGACTTGCGGTCCAAGCTGCAAAAGGTGCTTCGGGTACTAGGTTTTTGGGTGGCACGTCGCACCCAAAGAAGAGTCACATATGATTTTGAACTTGAGAGCTGGCGCGGAGTCGGGAGCATGCATTTCTAGCACGTGATAGTAACTTTTCTCGTCGTTTCGATGTTCGCTTTGCATATGAAGCCGATTGGGGTGACTTCCGTGACACTTTATCACGACGAGACACACGCACAGAAGTAAATGAGTGAATCCGCATACACTCCAGTGTACACAGAGGCAGCAAAGCACTATTAGGACGGGATGCGTAGCTTTTTGAGCAGGTCCAGATGTGTTGTGTGAAGTTTCACTCCAGATAAAGTATTCCAGATAAGAAGCCTAAACCTTTAACCTGAACCAATAAAGTCAGATTGGCGCAGGAGGCATGGGACCGCATCGCAAATCCGTCTCAAGTAATGGATATTCAAGTCCCTTCTCCTGTCCCCAAAACCTGGGCTATCGATGGTAATGTCGAGTCCGGAATAAGTAGTAATGGTATCTCATGATACTCCAGGAATCCTATAGAATACCCATATTAAAGTTTAGTTGCTACATCTGCAGGGCTCACGTCCCACCTTCGGTTGAGCAACTCTAGGAGAGCCTTTGCCTGTCAGCTCTACCACGACAGATCTAAGCCGGCCCGTCCCTAATCAGCAGGATAGGGGTCCTTTTACGGGTTCTTAGAACAGGTCCATCAAGGCTTACCACATGGGCTATTCGGTGTATCCTAGGGGCCTTGATAATTCGACTCAGGGTTCGGGGGTACATCATAGGAAAAGGTGCTACAATGGGAGATCATGACTCCGTGTTCAGACCATCCCGATTACAGTGATTTTGCAAATCGCCGCGACATGACCCTCTATCTGTCAGAGTAGGGGCTAAAGGCGCAGGGGACATGACTCCGGGTTATTCGCTGCCTGAGAGGGTTTAGGCTTCAAGGGGTTCGGGGTTGAAGTCTAGGCGACACTACGCAAGCCTGTCGCAAAAAGGGCCCTAAACCCTAAACCCTGAAGCCTGCTGCAAAAAGGGGGATCCTTGAAGCTGCTCATAGCTGCAGAGGCGCTCCTGGAGACGGGCCGTGTTTCATCGGCGAGCGCGGCTCGGTTCAGAGATCAAGCGAAGGTCTCTCTAAATGGGGGTTTCCGAACATAGGGGACCCTAAGATAGTACCCTAAATAGTAGGACCCTTACAATAAGGACCCCAAAGTAAGGTACCCCCAATTTTCGGAAAGTCCCATGCAGTTGACTTGCTGTTTTCTGACGGGATGCCTGCAGGTGCTGATCACGAACCAGGACGACCTGTCTCGCGAAGTGCTGGATATCCTCCTTGCTGTAAGGCCCGAAACTTCCATCATCTGACTCCGGGGCCGACTACGTAGGGGCTGAGGAAAACCGTGCACACTCAGTATTAGAGGTTAGGGCTTCGGGTCTTACTCACTGACTGTTACTGCTAGTAAACCCTCAACCCTAAACCCTAAACCCTAAACCCTAAACCCTAAATCAACCCTAGACCC